TCTTATCCTATCTTATCTTAGGTTATGTTATCTTATCCTATCTTATCGTAGATTATGTTATCTTATCCTATCTTATCTTAGGTTATGTTATCTTATCCTATCTTATCTTAGGTTATGTTATCTTATCCTATCTTATCTTAGGTTATCTTATCTTATCTTATCTTATCTTATCTTATCTTATCTTATCTTAGGTTCCGGGACTACCACAAGGCTCCGCCCACCGGGTCCACCGGGTCCAGAACCGGCCCCCCTCCCTATCAGCAAGCTCCGGCCAAACCCGGCAGCTGGTCATCTCCCTGCACCACTGACCGCTCGGACACCAGCGGCGACTCGGGTCTGGACTACTCCAGCGAGCTCAAAGATCTGTCCCAGCAGATCACCGACATGGATTGGAGCCCGCGACAGAAGCGGCCGCTCCGCGCTCGACCGCCGCCCGGGCCCTCCCCGACACACCACCAGCCTCACGGCCGACAACAGCAGCAGCAACAGCAACAGCAGCAGCGTGGTCAGCAGCCGGTGGGAGGACAGAGGGTCTCCCCTACCCCCTCCTCCTCCTCCCCTCCCGGTATTCTCAAAGACAGCCAGAACTCCCGCGGCAGCTCAAGGGATGCCCGGGGCGCAGGCAGCATCTCTTACGGCAACGGTGCCGTTACTGAAGGTGGGTGGGCGTGGTGGAGTGGGCGTGGTCGGTGGGTGTGGTCAGCGGGTGTGGTCGGTGGGCGTGGTCAGTGGGTGGGTGTGGTGGATGGGTGTGGTCAGTGGGTAGGTGTGGTGGATTGGTGTAGTTGATGGGCGTGGTGAGTGGGTGGGTGTGTATGGTTGGTGGGAGTGGTGGGTTGATGAGTGTGGTGGATGTGGTTGTGGGCGTGGTCGGTAAAGGGGTCGGTGGCATGGTTGTGGGTGTGGTCGGTGGGCGTGGTCGGTGAGTGTGGTCATTTCCAACATTGATTACAATGAAAGGTCAGTAAAGTGCCCTCTACCTCACTTCACCACTTAACCTTACCTTACCGCACTTTACTTCTCCTCACCTCAGCTCACTTGCATCTATGCTACTCTCAATATCTCTATCCCTCAATGCTACCCTCAATATCTGTATCCCTCAATGCTACCCTAAATGTCCTCCCTCAGGTAACGGTGGTGTACGTATCAGCGGCTCCCGAACAAGCCCCGCCCACTCCACTCGGACAAGCCCCGCCCACTCCACACGCACAAGCCCCGCCCACTGTGCTGACGGCAAGGAGAATGACCCGTCAGCATCTCCCTCCAAAACCACGCCCATTGCAGGTACAAACATATAGTCTCTCTCTCTCTCTCTCTCTCTCTCTCTCTCTCTCTCTCTCTCTCTCTCTCTCTCTTTCTCTCTCTCTCTCTCTCTCCTCTGTGAGTGTGTGTGTGTCTGTCTCGTATCTGTGTGCATGTGTGTGGGTGTGTTTTAGCATCTACATCTGTGTGTATGTGTACCTGTGTGCATTTGTGTGGATGTTTTTGTGTATGTCTGTCTGTGCGTATGTGTATGTGTAGATATGTGTGGATGTGTTTGTGACTGTATGTCTGTTGTGTGTATGTGTGTACATTTGTGTGGGAGTGTATGTGACTGTATATCTGTGTGTACATGTGTGTGTGTGGATATGTTTGTGTTGGTATGTCTGTCTGTGTGTATGTATGCGTTCGTGCCTGTGTGTGAACGTGTTTGTTTATGTGTATGTGTGTGCAAACTTGACCTACAACCGCTATCTTCCTCCTGCTTTCCCCCCACCCCACCCCACCCCCACACACTCTCACCTTCACCCCCT